ACACAATTGATGTTTGTATGGATTGGGATAAGAGTTGTATGAGCCCCTAATAAAACGATTTTAAAAAGCCGGCTACAGCCCCTGGAGTCGTTCTTCCAATTGTATCAATACAGTGACCCAATCAAAGGCTGCATTCCACCCCAGCTGCCGGCTGCTTACAGGATTGATAACATTGTTAGATCCCACTGTGGGGCATTGCTGTCAAACTACTGAGAACCCTGGCCTACCCATGTTGACACAAAACCTGACTACCAGAAACCGCTTCCCATGTGTGTCCCTCTCCTCTCCTTCCCTCCTTCCTTCATCTATGCTTTCTCTTTTCTTCCTCTCAGCGTTTCCACAAGGGTCAAAGCTTATGCTTATTGGTTATAGATAGAATTCTTCTCCCACTGTGGTTTGCACTCTTTTAGAAATTTATTTGACTATCGTTAGCTTTTAAAAGTGTGTTAATACATATCCAAACACCTTGAGGGAATGTCACTGGATTTGGGGCCTGAGGACCACAGTGTTGGGGAAACATCTAGGTCAAATAGCATCACATTGTTCACAAAGAGAATGTTTTACATCCTGCTGTGAAGAGGGACCCCTGGGCTCTTAAAATCTAGTGAGCATCTTTCTGTGAGAAGTAACTATTAACCCCTCCCTGTCTGGAGTAAAGAAGAGTAAAGAAAATCAAAGACGCAAGGAAACTGAGTTCAAAGGAGGAAAAGAGCACTCCAACTACAGTCTCCAGCACTTGGAGAGCTAGATGAGGCCCACTTACAACTGCTAGCCACTTTGATGGGGCCTGCAGAAGCGTCACGGACAGAATGACAGAACATTTCAAAATCATCGGATCATCCTGGGGGTCACCTTTCAGTTAGACAACAGACACGCCTATAAAATGACCAAAGACACTTTTGAAGAACATACTCCTCCGGAAAATTAATGATAGGAGACAAAAAGGGCAGCACTGGCTCCCAAACAAACTCCAGAAGGCAGGAAGGGACCTGAAAGAAAGGTGAATAGTCAAGGGGAACCCAGGGACTATGTGGGAAAAGTGCTGTTAAATGAAGGGAACTCAACTGTTATGAACAAAATGGGTATACATTGTTGAGTGGAAAGCTAATTTGACATGTTAATATTACATACCAAACCACGAATATCAGTGGAATAGTTTTGACCCTGATTTTATTTTATTTTTTTTAAATTTTTATTTATTTTTGTCTCCGTAGACACTGTCAAAAATTGCCAATGCCGACTATATTTCAAGTCGTCACGGCGGGGTATTGGGAAAAGTTTTCAATTAGCAATAATCGCGCCTCGGATAAACCTCACTGGCTATGATATTGCCACTGCGCAAAGCTTTGACCCCGATTTTAAATAACTTGCTGCCATAAATACATGAAGGTCAATGAACTGCTTCACATTGTAGTCCACTTCCATTGAGCTGACTCTGACAAATGGGACAGAGCTGAACTGCTCCACAGGGCTCCTGAAACAGGAGCAGCTAGGGAGTTTGAAACGCCAGTCTTGCAGTTAGAAGCCCGATGCTCAGTGCCATCAGATCTCCTTGACTTACATTTGGACAGTCTTAATATGAACTGTTTTAATTTTATACATTTATTAATTAGAACTTTGTGGCTAGCTTGGCCCAACCCAATGCACAAACATTGATATCGCATGCAAGTAAAATTTTGCTTAAGATCATCCAACAATGGTTGCAGCAGTATTGACAGGGAATGGCAGAAAGTCAGGCTGGATTCAGAAAATGATGTGGAACGAGGGCTATCATTGATGATATCAGATGGAGCTTGGCTCAAAGCAGAGGATACCAGAAAGATGCTTACTTGTGTTTCATTGACTATGCCAAGGCATTCGACTGTGGGGACTATAATAAACTGTGGATAATCTTGAGAAGAATGGGAATTTCAGAACACGTCATTGTGCTCATGCGGAATTTGTACATGCAAACAGAACAAGGGGATTCTGCATGGTTTAAAATCAGGAAAGATGTGCGTCAGGGATGTATTCTCTCATCATATTTGTTGAATCTGTATGCTGAGAAAATCACCAGAGAAGCTGGATTATATGAGGAAGAGTGGCATCAGGATTGGAGGAAGGCTTTTAATAATCTGCAATATGCAGATGATACAACCTTACTTAATGAAAGTGAGGAGGACTTGAAATACTTCCTGATGAAGATCAAGGATTCAGTGTGGATTACAAATGTAAGGAAGACCCAAATCCTCACAACTAGGCCAATAGGTAGCAAAATGATAAATAGAGAAAAGGTTGAAGTTTCGAGGATGTTGTCTTGCTTGGATCCATAATCAATGCTCATGGAAGCAGCCATCATGAGATCAAAAGTCGCATTGCATTGGGTCAATCTGCTGAACAAGACCTCTTTAGAATATTGAGGATCAAGGATGTTACTTTGAAGACTAATGTGCTCCTGACTCAAGCCATGCTGTTTTCAATCGCCTCATTTGCATGTGAAAGTTGGACATTGAATAAGGAAGACAGTAGAAGAATCAATGCATTTGAATTGTGGTGCTGGAGAAGAATATTAAACGTACCATGAACTGCTAAAAAGACAAACTGGTCTGTCTTGGAAGAAGTAAGGCCAGAGTGCTCCTTAGAGGCAAGGATGACAATACTTGGAAATACTTACATACTTTGGAAATATTGTCAGGAGAGCAGCCCCTGAAGAAAGACAGCATGTTTGTTAAAGTGAAAGGGCGGTGAGAGAGAAGAAGGCCCCTAATGAGATGGATTGACACAGGGGCTGCATCAATGGGCTTAGGAACCACTGTGAGGCTGGCCCAGGACCACACAATGTTTTCTTCTGTTGTGCACAGGGTCACTGTGAGTCGCAGCCAACCTGATGGCACCTAACAACAGCAGCAGCTTAGCTTGAAGGAATACCAATTATAGTGATACATTTTTATATTTAAAACAATTGTAACAGAAAAATGTCAAAATAAATGTAACAAATATAAATTTAAAATACTGATATTAAGTATATATTAGGAAAGTGTCACCCAGGGAATTTAGGTGTCCCCTTGGCTGAATAAGAGACTCCTTAAAAATGATTTCCATAAAACCAAGCTTGGTAATTGCTGTGTATTTCCGTTCTAAATTCAGAGTCTTTTGATCAGAATGTCCTCTTTCAAAGCTACACCCATGTTTTTCAGTTAAAATGTGACTCATTGCTGATAAAGTTCTTATGTGCATGAGATGTGTATGTCTTGGGTTGACCAACTTAGATTTACGAGTTATGGATTTCCACAGCACATTAAAGAGATGTAGTACAGCATTTTGCCCAAAGATGAACTACTCGTGAAAAAAAGCTGCAATTTCCAGGATTTACAACATTATCATGGACTAACAGCCAGTTGGTTTTTGGAATTAGAATCGCATTAAAACAAAACTTTGTCTAAAGTCAATTTACGCACGGAAAGTCTCACACCATACATTTGTAAGATTAAAGGCACATAAGAACCAGTATATCAAACCAGAATGTATTAGGATAATGATTATATTCAAATAATTATTTTTCTTTTGCCTTCCTGGGGTGAAGATGACTTAATAGGATTTACAACAGTTACTTTAGAATCTCCGAACGCGTTGCTGGCGGAGACCTGACTGGGCGGCAGCTGGTGCGTCTTTTCACTTCTCACAGGCTCCTCCGGCCTTTTCGCAGCAGGGCTTGTGTCGTCATCTTTCAAGACATTGCCTGATCCAAAGAGTTCTTCCATTAGGTTGGTTTTCTTGTCTCTAAAAGTTGTGCTTTTTGCTTTTGTTCTGCAAGACTTACCAAAAGAGGGCTCATACCCACTGGGTTCTAACTTCAGTTCTGTGTTACTGCGCTGTTTGCTTCTTGTGATGCTTATGTTGGCTGGTCCACTTGAAGTAGGAAGGCCCTGGTGCAAGTTTTCAATCGTTTCTGTGAATGAGTAATGCTTTCTTTGTCGGAAGGATGTTTTGGAGTTTGGGACCGCGTACTTACCAGGTATTTCATTCATGTCATTGGTTTCTAGACTCTCAGACTTTCCTGTTTCTGTGTCACCTTCTTGATACCTGTCCTCTTGGGGATGAATGACTGGGATAGTTTTTGATGGTAGCGCTTGCTCTTCAATAGTTAAGGTGGTTTGCTTGTCTTGATTTTCCTTTTTCTCTCTTGGCTTTTTGTCAATATTTTCTACAGGTGCCTGTACTTCTAGATGTACCTTTTCCAGAGATAAATCTATATTAGGAAAATAGACAATTTAGTGCTCTTTAAAATGAATGAATTTCCATTTTAAGTTGGGTTTTCTGCCATATTTATACCCATCACCTGCTCTGGGGGAGAAAGATAAGACTGTTTGTTCTCACAAAGATTTACATTAGAAAACCCTAAATAGGGTCACTCTGAGTTAGGATCCACTAGATGCCAGTGGAAATCAAAACAGAAATTGAAGACTATTTTCAAGTAGTTTTTCTTCTAAAATCATTATCGAGTCACAGGATGATGGACAGAGAACTATACTTCTCCCGGGTATCTTACCGAACTGTAACATGCTCAAACCCAGGAAATTGACTTTGGTACAACCTAAGTGTATCGTTCTGAGTGATAGATTCATGTAACCACCCCCACCATCAAGATCCTGCTGAACCATTCCAGCACCGCACAGACCTTCCTGGGGCCACTCCTTTCTGGTGGGTCGCACCATCTCCCACTATAATCTTGAGTTGCTTTCCAGCTACATCTATTCTTCATTGCTAGAGTTTGTTATGAAATTACAAGCTATTTAAAAGTTAATAATACATAAAACATACTACAAAAATCTGGTAAATATTCAGAGAGGAGTAGATTAATGGCCAAAAATTATTTTACTGGAAGAAAATTTAAAAATAAACGTACTGTGTATTCTACTGAAAAGTTGGGAAAGAGGATAAGGGATAAATTAGCATAAAATATATTAATTCATTACTTCATTAGGGAAGTAAAAAAAACCAGACTAACAGGAGCAGGAGGGAGGCAGCTCCAGTTAGACTAGCCCCCAATCTTCTACAGCTCCCTTTCTGCTCAGAGATAAAGCCCAAATTCTTACCCTGCCTATGAAGTCATCACTTATCTGGACTTCCCCTCTTCCCCACCTGTATCTTACTACAGTCCTTCCCCTTGTCAGCCACTCTGCCTCCTTCAGACCTGCAGTCTCCACAGCTCTGGGAGTGTAGCTGAACTGCACATATGAACTGGTAACTAGGAGGTCAGCACTTGAGCCAGTTGTCCCATGGGAGAAAGATGAGGCTGTCTATTCCCGGCACTGAGTGGTTTTTGTTTTGGGCATCCTCATGGTCCATGCCTTCCCTCCTGGAAAGTCTGTTAGAGCTAGCTTCTCAACCTCACTTCACCTACCCTCCTTGGCCTTTCATGTTCTTTTCCCTCTTCAGTTTTATTTCCTTTTTATAGCACTCATCATTGAACATATTTCATTTGTATTTATTGCCTGTCTATTGACACACCAGTATAGGGCTTTTGTTTTCCTTTGCGGGTGTACCCCCAATGCCTAGAACGGTGCCTGACATAAAACGTTTTGGCCAAATGAATGGATACATACTCTTTAGAAAATTAGAATGGCTAAAGGTGAATCAAAAACTTAAATAAAACAGTTAACAGGAGAAGTAACTGAAAGTATGATTGAAAGTATGATGAATTGCTTCCACTGAACTGCACCAGACTCAGTGGCTTTGCAGGTGAGTCGGTCAGACTTTTAGATTACAGTATTTAAACTTTTAAAAGACTTGTTTGACCCCACATCTAACATGTGACCTTTCCAGGGCTCCTACTGAAGGCCTGGTGTGTTTATCAAGAGTTCTCCACTCTGGTCCAACACAATGCAAGTGATTCACTGTCCTGGGGACTTCTGGTAATTATCAGGAGCAGATCTTTCCTCACAAGTTGTTTCTCTGGCTCTGTAGAGTTTCACCTTGACTTCTTATTAGTAAAAAACAAAACAAAATAAAATAAAACAAAAAAATGAAACAAAAACTCGCAGCCATCAAATTGATTCAGAATTATAGGGTTGCGCAGAACTACCCATTTTGGTTTCTGAGACTTTAAGTCATTACAGTAGTAGACAGCCTCACCTTTGTCCTTTAGAAAGACTGGTGGCTTGGAACCACTGGCACTGTAGTTAGGAAATCAATGGTTAACCCACTCGGCCACTAGTGGTGTAGTGTAGTAAGTTCTGTGTTTTGCTGCTAACAATACAGTTAGCAGTGGAGCCTTATAATATTGCAACTTGAAAACAAAGGACAATGCCTTCTGGAGGAAAACTTTTCCAAACTACAATTTTATGTATAGCCAACCATTATTCTACTAAAGGACAGAATAATGAAATTCATAGTCATGACACTATGTGCATTTACCTTACATGCTCGCAATCTCAAGAAGGCACCTCTAGGTTATGCTTTTAAATCATTTTTTTCTAAGAAAGACAGAAGATCCAGTAGACAAGTGGGATGAGAGGACATGGTGAAGAGAGATATGGAATGATGGCTGTTTCACAGAAGTGGAGGCCAGCCAGGCCAGAGGAGAAGACCTGAGATGCAAAGGGCTGGCATCCCCACTACCTCTGTGCTGTTGCCCATTTCATGCACCATGTGCAGGGTGGACCAGACGTTGGCTTGTCCTGACCCTGGACTGAGGAAGGCGCAGCACTCTGTGTGATACCTTGCAGCCTGCATTACCCGAGGACTCAGATTCCACTCATGGAAACTCTCCTTTCATCTCCCAAGAGCTTAGTGATCTTAAAAGCAGACAATTCTGAGCAGGCATTTCCTTCTGGTATCTTCTCTGGGACTTGACAGCACAGCTCTACCAGGTACCAGGACTCAGTTACTAACCCTCCAAGGGACCACTCACAACTCTGCTACTGCTTTCTTAAACAGAGCCTCTCTGTTTAACTTAGCTTATTTCTAGAGAGCATTTTCTTATCATGATAATGTTGCCCTTTATTCAGCTGGATTTTTGCTTGCTACTACTCTCTTTCTCTCTCACACACACACACACACACGCGCGCGCGCGCACGCGCTTAAAAAACTTCACGGAAAAATTCCGTTATCTTTTTATTTCATTTTTCCACAATATGAGTGTGTCAGCAACCTGTATGTATTGCTGCAATTGTTTTTTAATTATTTTCAGCAGAATTTTACTTGTATGCAATATTATGTTGTTTGATAATTTCCACATTCTGTTGCATCACTGTTCTGTAGAATTGATCTCTTCTAGTCTGTTGGCCAGGGAGCTTCTTATAAATTTCTTGGCATAGATGAGTGCTTCCAGCATTGCATTAGTTTGTTGGAATATTTCCTGGAGCCTCAGTTTTTGCTAATACCTTCAGTGCAGCTTGGACTTTTTCTTTCAGTGCCCTACATTCTTGATCATATATTGCCTCATGATATGTTTGAATGGTGTCCAATTATTTTTGTTACAGTGGCTCTATGTATTTCTTCCATCATCTGATACTTCCCCTATCATTCAATCTTTTGCCCATGGAATCCTTCAATATTTCAACTTGAAGCTTGACTTTGTTCTTCAGTTCTTTCAGCTTGAGATACGCTGAGTGTGGAGTGTGTCCCCCACCCTCCTGTTTTTTTGCTTTCTAATTGTAGGTCTTTGCACATTTTATTGTTTTGGTTTGTCATCTTGAACTGCCCTTTGCAGTTTTCTGTTTTGCTCTTTTACATCAATTCTTACATTTGCTGTCACCACTCTACACTCAAGAGCAAGTTTCAGAGTCTCTCCTGACATCCATTTGGAGCTTTTCTTTCTTTCCTGTCCTTTAAATTACTCTTTGTTTTCTTCATATATGAAGTTCTTGATATTATCCCATAACTAGTCCGTGGCCATTAGTGTTCAATGCCTCAAATCTGCCCTTGAGATGGTCTATTCAATTCAGTTGGGATAGACTCAAGATCATTATTTTGGCTCTCATGGAATTGTTTTAATTTTCTTCAGCTTCAAATTGAACGTGCATATAAGCAATTGTTGGTCTGTTCCAGGGTCAGCCTCTAGATTGGTTTTGACTGATGATATTAAAGCTTCTCCATCTTCTCTTCTTACAGATGTAGTCAGTTTTCTTCCTGTTTATTCCATCTAGTTAGGTCCGCATATACAGGAGCCATGGTGGTACCATGAGTTATGTGTTGGGCTGCTAATAGTGACGTTAGCAGTTCAAATTCACCAGCTGCTTTATGGGAGAAAGATAAGGCTTTCTACTCCCATAAATAGTTACAGTCTGAGAAAACACAGGGCAGTTCTACCTTGTCCTATAGAGTCACTATGGGTCCGAATTGACTTGATGGAAATGAGTTTGTTTTTAGGTCCACATGTGTCATCGTTTAGTTGTTGAAAGAAGGTGTTTGCAAAGAAGAAGTTGTTAGTCTTGCAAAATTTTATTATAGGATTTATAGCTTCCTTTCTATAACCAAGGCCAAGATTTCCAGCTACTGTGACTAAAGATTTACACTCTTGGAAATAAAATGGGGCAGTTCCACCTTCTTATGAGTTAGAATCTACTTGGTGGCAGAAGTGGTGGGATCCTTCCCCTTCGTGTCCAGGTTTCCCATTCTAATTGCTTGTAGCTATCCGTGTATCTTGATGGCATGTTTGATGAATTTCAGACTCAAGAAGCTGGTTGAGTTCTTCAATTTCTTATCAATGACTTTAGGGATTGGTGCATACATTTGAATAATAGTTGTATAAACTGGTCTTCCTGGGAGGTATATCACTATTATCACAGACAGGATTGTTCTTCAAAATAGAGCTTGAAATAAAAAAAATCAGAAAGTTATTTTGGATGATGTGTGTGACACCATTCCTCTTGAATTTGTCATTCCTGGCAGAGTAAATCATATACTTGTCTGATTCAAAATGGCTAATACTGATCCATTTTAGGTCACTAATATCTGGGATATTGTTTTTCATGTGTTCCATTTCATTTTTGATGACTTCCAATTTTCCTAGATTGATATTTCACACATTCCACAGTCTGATTATTGATGGATCCTTACAGCTGTCCTTTCTCATTTGAGTCATGCTCTGTCCCCCAGTGAAAGTCCTGAGTGCTTTGTTCTCTCTGTTATGAAGGCCAACTCTGCTTTGAGGAGGTAGCTCTCCCCCACTTGTATTTTTTTCCCCCACTTGTATTTTAAGAGCCAATATTTTAGACAATTAAAAAAAAAGCTTTATTAGCAATTCATCACGTCATACAATTCAATAATTCAATCACATCAAGAAGAGTTGTACAATTATTGCCACATTCAATTTGAGAATATTTTCTTCTTCCTTGAACTCATTGTTATTCATGTAGTTATTATTTTTCTAATATGTCAAAAATATACACAACAAACCATTGTCCGATTCCACAACTTCTGCACGTATAAGGCAGTGCCATTGAATATACTCTTTGTGTTGTACAACCATTATTGATATTATTTTGCAAGTGATTCCATCACTATTAACAGAAACTCAGTGCTCCATAAAAAAACTTTTCCTCTTTCACTCACGGTAACCGTTGGACAAGTTTGGTTTCTTTCTTTCTTTTTAAAGGTAGTTTTCTTGATAAAGTATTCACATATATACTTACATAGTTAAATTGCTTTCAAAAAGAGTTGGATATACATCATTACAATCAGTTCTAATGTTCCTTCCCCCCTCCCACATTCATTATTTGCTCCCCAACTCCCTCACCTCCCCTTCCCACCCCACCCTCCATATCTTTGAGAAACCACTGCATCAGTCATTGTTTCTATGCATCAACTCCTTCTGTGCTTCACAAAGTGGGGAACCAAACAGAAACAAAAAACAAAACCAAAACAAAATGGCAAGAAGAATATAATAATAATATAAAGATAAAAATACAACTGAAGAGTACAAAAGAAACGACCACCATCAATATTTCAAAAGCCAGAGAAATTTTCTGTCATGGAACAAATGAGAAATACTTGAGCCTAGAGCAAATTCAGCTTGGGTCAAGAGGGAGGTAGGTCAACCAACCAATTACCATATTATACGATGGTTCTATCCACCATCATCAAGTTTACAATGATCTTTGTCTGACAGTAAAGCTGTTCAAGTCCCTTGCCTGTGGCTACAGGGGATCTGCCAGAGGCTTAGTCTGACTAGGTAGTCTGCAGATGGGTTTTGGGCTCCCACTGTCCTCCATAGCCTTCTACAAATTGGGTGTTCACAATTTAAGCTCTGATACTTTTCCCTTTGTCATATGTGGATTTTGTAATTGTCATCTTTGGATGACATAGGTTGGTGTGCTTATTCAGTTGATGCTTCACTTAGATGGCTGCTTGTTTGAATACAAGCCTTTACTATTCTAATGGATAGCCAGGCACCATCTGCTTTCTGAATTCACCACACTTTGCTGTAGCACCCTTATCTTCAGTGCTCATTACATGAAGGCAAGTATGGAGCAGGGCCATGTTATAAGAACAAACTCTTCTTGGATAAGGGCTAGAGTCAAGTGGGATCCCCGAATCCATCTGCTTGTTCATGGGTTATGAATGACTCTGGTCTGTTTTGGTGGTCGTATTATGATAAAAACAAAAGTCCACAAGATCAACCACCACAAAACAAACAAACCAACAACAGAAAAACAAAAGACAATAAAAAAAAAAGATTTTCAATAGCTAATCCCTTGGAAGTGGGCAACCTAATCATTCTTTCTAATCCATTCTTAATCTGAAAGCCTTTCTAAAGCTTGTTCGCCATGGGTGACCCTGCTGGTAACGGAAATACCTACCGGTGGCTGGTGAGTGAAACTCATAATGTAGACAGCACAACACACTGACAGGGAGTGAGTTCCTGAATGTCCAGAGAACACTAATGTACCCATCTTTTTGCTTATTATGTGCATTTTATATGTTTTGAGATTTCCAATTAAGAAAATCTAAAGAGACTTAAACATTGTGAAAATTACCTTCATGCCTTTTCTTAGAATCTTGATTTTGTAGTTTACTGATATAGTGCAGAATTTCACTGTTTAATTCAGTTGATTTTTCCTTATGAGCAAGGCTTACGGTTGTCTTTTTACTCTATTGAAAAATCATCACAAACACATAATTTTTGTTTAGATAACTTAAAATTGTTTCATTCTATTGAATACAAATACTTTTAATACAGAACAAGTGACTGTTGCTTACTTTATTTTTTGTAAAAAATGGAATAAAACCTACTGCTGTTGAGTCGGCTCTGACTCCAAGCACCCAGTGGGACAGAGTAGTATGACCCCCCCC